CGCTGATCAGTTTCAGCAGCGGCTGAATCTGGATGCCAGTTCCGACTTACATACAAATTCAACTTAAGAACAAACCTACAGTCCCTATCTTGTACGTAACCCGGGGACTGCCTGTATTTTATTTCGAAATAGGCTATTTTGAGACAGCCCTTATCTCTCATGGAATGAGGTTTACAGGGATGCCAAAATAGCGTGCTTGCTCTATTTCGCAATAGCTGATGCGTTTAAAAGATGCGAGGTAGCTATTTTGGGATACCTCTGGTATCCCGAAATAGCCTTGCAGTGTAGACGTATCCTAAGCACGGTGCTCCCTCGCAGGGCAGTGGCAGGAAGCGAGAGACTCCACGTTCCCCCTCCCCAGACCCTGACTGACCTGGGGGGCAGCAGGCAAAGACTCCTCCCATCTTCAGGGGCACAGGTGCCTAGACAGAACCATCAGCTGTTCAGAACAGCTGGCGGTTCTCCTTGGAGGGGGGCAAAGACTTTGTGCAACCCCTCACCCCAAGACCAATCAGGGTCTGTGGGTGGGGGGAGCATGGAAGTGTCCTGGCCCCGCCCCTTCTGGGGTAGCCTGGAGCCACTTAAAACATTTCTGAAGTGGCCCCTGGTCAAAATTATTATCCACCAAAGAGCTTATGGCACCTTTATTTCTCCAAGAGGAAGGTGCTACAGTCTGAACTGGCACAAGTTACCTCCGGGATTATGGAAATGGTTTCCTGACCCTCAAGTTACGTGGAAGTTAAGAACAATGGAAATGGTTTCCTGACCCTCAAGTTACTGTTCTTAACTTCCACGTGTCTCGGAAACGCTGGCTGTTTTCTCTCGGCCTTCCCTTGCAGAGCGCTATGCTGCTGGAACATGCCCAGCACTGACACGCTGGGATCCCTTCCTTGCGCCATCCCGGCCGTCGCAAGGAGAACAAAGCTCCACCTCAGCCCCTTGCCACCGCCTCCCTGCCTTCCCCCAAGTGACACACGGTTAGTTTGTACCTCGTGGGGCGCCCCTTTAAGAACATTTGCAGAGTGGTAGATGGTTTCGGTCCACAGCCGGATGTGATCCGAGTTCTCCGGTTCTTCATCTGTTTGATAAAGCGATTTGGGTACGAGTCCACCTTCAGCGACATTGCACTGCAAGAGCCAGACACAGAGACATCTGCCATCGGACGTCTACTAAACGAACATGCATGGAACTAGCTAGACAACAAACCCAGCTGCCTACAGAGAAACATCAGAGGGACGCATCCTGAGCAGGTGTAAAACGTCATAGCTCCATTGGCTTTACAGAAGTAGGATATGGCCCCTGCTCTTTATGAGGGAAACAGCCCATCAGTTACGTTGGGACCCCAATTTAGAGTGCTCTTTAAAAAGACAAGTTTCACACCATGCAATATTATTATTATTAGTTGAAATGTTACCAGGAGGTGTGAGCAGAAAGCCCTGGCTTACTTTGAAGTGCCCCAGGCAGAGCGTGGAACCAAAGCATTGCACCATGGTGCTAGCACCACCGAGCCCAAAGCAAAATGGGACTAGAACTTAGTGAAACTCAGTCTCGTATTTTCACTGTCCGAATAGGGTGCAGCACATGAGCAGCATGAACGATGAAAAGTTCATTAAGGTCTTTCATTATTTCAATTTAACATCATTCACTGAGAAGCTTCTGGGCAATTTATAATGTGGCCTCCACAACAGGTGCGGCCTGTGACTATAGGCGGACTCGGCCATCGCCTAGGGCGCTGCCTTCAATGGGGCGCCCGATGAGGACGTGAGTCCATTGATGGCTGTGCAGGCGGGGGTGCCGATCGTGCATTCTGCCTGGGGCGCCAGCTGCCGCAGCCCGCCTCAGGCCGCTCTTGCTCCACAATATTACTTGGACTTAACGAGCTTCAAAAAAAAAGTGGCTGCAATGGTAGGTACCAAAAAGAGGAAACCAGTTCTCATTCGGTAAAGCTTGGACTAAAGGCACACTACCTGTAGCGCATAAAAATCAAGCCCACAGCCTTATCCACGTGATGTGTCGGCTTTTTCTTTTAGCCTGGTCATGTCCCTTTAATAATCTCCCTAATCCAATTGGAGCCAGTCTAGATATTTTTAGCGCTGTACTAATCGGATGCCCTTTGACAACTGAAGCAGCAGAGTCACATTTTGATGCTCTGGTGTGGGATTGGCACAGGCTTTGGGTAGGGATGTAAGTGACTAATCGACGATCTGATAAGCAAAAGCTTATCGGGTAGTTGACTAGTTGCTTCCCCGCTTTGCTGCCTCTATCAGAAAGAGGCAGCAAGTGGGGGAGGGAGAGGAGGGAAGCTGGGGGGAGCCGGCTTAAAAGCTAGTTCCCCCCACAGCTCCAGCTCCCTGGGGGAGGGGCAGGAGTGCAGGGGCGGCGTTCCGCCTTTGAAATATACAAGAGTCCCCACTGAGGCTCTTGTACCTTTCAAAAGCCAAACACCATGGGGCACTATCACCTTTGAAATGTAGCAAGAGCCGGGCAGGAAGTGCTCTTGTCGAGTATCGAATAGTCCATGGAAATTCCATCGATTGTCCAATTAGTTGATTAATCTAATTTTAACATCCCTACCTTTGAGGTCATTTTTTTTTTTTTTTAAAAGCAAGATGAAGACAGAGACCCAAATAACCCAAGGAAAACCACACTGACTCCTGAGGCACAGCTCCCGGATGTCCAATGGTTCAGTTTCTTTTTTCCATAACATTCAAGGTCAACGTATTCGTATGATCGGAAGGACAACACATCTCAACCCATTTCCCTGATAAAGGCTTCCCCGGTACAATGCCACCTCCCTCCAGGCAAGCTGTGAGGCAAGAAAGATCTCAGTACCGTGGGTTCCCAGGCTGGGCCTTCGGGGACTGCCAGGACAGAAAGGCGGCTCCTCCAAGGGAAGGAGTGGAAGAACCAGGGGAGTCGGGAAGGTAGTGGCCCCAAGACAACATCATACCTCAGATTCACCCTACACCAACGTAGTGGAAACTCACCACACAGTCTCCTCCCAGGAAATCAGGAATCACGTCTTTGTCCAGATAGTCCACAAGTCCTCCTGGGCCTTGGTAGTTATTGCCACTGTAGATGAGGAACTTCTGCCTGGTGTTCTCATTGATGAAGGGACTAACCTGAAACACAGGGGAACAGAAGATGATGTTCTTGTGGCATGGACCATGATGGGAGAGGATACCCTGCCGCATTCCAGAAACATGCCTCGCACCTTGGACTGGAGGCCCAGGGACACGGAAGGGCCTGAACCATAAAAGGGGTTTGCAGAAGTTACATGAGAAATGTTTCCATTCGGTCACTGCGTTCTCCTGTTTCCCCACATTAGATAAAACTCCCCACCAGTTACCTCCCCAGCCCCAGCAGTGTTCCAGAATGGTGTGGGGTTTGGTCAGTTCTATTATGTGGGCAATGCAGCCAGCAGGCCCTAGACCAGTGTTTCTTAAACTTTTTAAGATGGAGGAACACCAAGGATTTTTTGTGGAGGGGGGGGGCGAGGGGGGAGTTTGCCTGCTCCTTTAAGGGCAACCATTTTGAACTCGGTTGTTCTCCATGGCACACCTCCAACTGCCTCATGGCACACCAGTGTGCCACGGAACACAATTTAAGAAACACTGCCCTAGACAGTCACATCCATTGCTTTCCTCTTCAGCGCTCTCTCGAATGGGACTGAAAAGCAGACTCTCTGCCATTCTCACCGGTGCCAACTGCAGGAGCGTTTTAATTTGCAAGACTCCTGCACATCGCTATGAGCATGTCCCCAGAGCTGGCCTGTGGGTTGGCAGCAGGGCAGCACACCGCCTTGTGCGGCTCAGACCCCAAGCTCTGGGCAGTGCTGGCAGGATGACAGAGCCTGGAAGTGATAAGACAACGCTATTGCTCCATGGCAGCCCTATGGCTCCACCAACGAGCTCTGGGAAGAGCAGCGTGTGTCGAGCTCTGCCCAGCCCAGGGACAGGGTGATGCTCCAAGGATGCAGAGCATCCGCGGCACTGGAAGTTTTAGCCACTTGGGACCCTGGCCGTACGGTGCCGCAGAAGGATTTCACTTACCAGAGTCCACAGCACGGGGAAAACCCGTGGTGCTCGCACAATCAGTAGCCTCCCGAGCGTCTCGGGGTAATTGTCCTCTACAACCTCAATGATCCGAAGGAGAGCCTTCACTCCTCCAAGGATGCAGAGCATCCGCGGCACTGGAAGTTTTAGCCACTTGGGACCCTGGCCGTACGGTGCCGCAGAAGGATTTCACTTACCAGAGTCCACAGCACGGGGAAAACCCGTGGTGCTCGCACAATCAGTAGCCTCCCGAGCGTCTCGGGGTAATTGTCCTCTACAACCTCAATGATCCGAAGGAGAGCCTTCACTCCAGGCCGCCACAGGTGGCGCATGTTCAGCCCTTCCAAGTCCACCAGACACGTCCAGGATCTGAAACGCAGAGAAGAATTCGAGAGGTCCCCGCTGCAGTGCGACAGCCCCTTTCAGCACCAACACAGACCTTCCTCCACCTGCCCAGTCAGCACACACAGGAGTTACACAAAAAACCCATTTTCATACACTTTTTATTAAGCCCAGGAGGCGACGGGCTGTACCAGTGGAGCAACAACTACCATCCTCCTCCACCCCCCGCAATGAGCAGCAGATGGCCAGAATCCAAAGGTATTTTCAGTGGCCTGGCTCTCTAGGCTCGGAATGGATTCCCCCCCCAAGGAAGAGCAACACTGGTTGTCCGTTTTGAGGTGCATAAGGGGGCTTAGGCCCTAGAGCAAATGGCTTTTTTTGGATCCACTAAGATACAACCTGGGCACTAAAAGGTTATTTTGCATTAATTTAAAACCTGACGCTGAACCAATAGCTGGACTTCAACTAGCTGGACTGGGATCACTAAGGCATCAGGTAGAAGATCCACTTGGAATAGCTGGATAATCCAGGACAAACAGCTTTGTCTTCCTTCGCATCGAGTTGCACAGTTAGTCCCCTTTAGCCCCAGGACATATGGTACCACACGCACACGCCCTGCATTGCCTGGATGTAAGGGTTGCTACAAAACACAACACTCCTGTATGTGGCTTGAGCCTAAGAATTTCAGTGACTTATTTCAGTAAAATCCAAGCTATCTTTTAAAAACTTTCACTGAAGCATTACTTCCATCATGGGACTCACGCTGTACCAGGGCCTTAAGACAGCTAGAGGCATACTAACGTGATGGGACGGCCAAACAGGTTGGTGTTTTCCTCACATCTCTTTTGTCCCTCTTCATTAATTGACAAAACCTGAAACGAGAGAGCACAGGTTGGGGCTACCTTGGCAACCCATCCAAAGAGGAGCTTCCCCCATCTCCTACTCCATGATGGGGGGATTCCTGAGGCAGTCAAATGAACAGCGAGCAGAAGCCAAAACAGCCTATTGTGGTAAAGGGACACAACCAGCCATCTTACATGGGCCAGAAACGAGATTTCTGGAAAGGTTCCCTAGTGAAAAATTCTCTCTGCTGAGCTGACAAGGCCTGTGACCCCGTGGACCAGATCCTCAAGCCCAGCGACAGGTACTTCGTGTCATTCGGGTGACGTAAGGGCCTCAGTCCAGCTGTCGGTCTCCAGGGAGATCAGAGATCTTCCAGCTGGTGCATTTGTGCTATGGGCCCTGCCCCCCTCCGGGCTGGGAAGTATGTCGGGGGTGAGGTGGAAGCAGCTACACAGCCACATGTGCCTCTAAGGACCCCATCCAAGAGGGGCAACGTAGAGCTGCCCAGCAGCATGTGGGCTGAGGTGGCGTCCTGAAATGGAGTCGGAATGGATTCCCCGCCCACGCTCCCCTCCCTCTCCTGCTCAGATGCTGGGGAGATGACCAGTTGCTGCTCTAAATTTTGCTCAAAGCAAGAAACACACGCTCTGGCATGAATTGTGCCACTAACTGGCTCTGTTTTTATAGTACAGGTGTCTTCATTCTAAGAGACATAGTTGTGCTAGATTTGCTTGGCCTAGCATGCTAAAAACAGCAGTGTAGCCAGGCTAGCACGGGCAGTGGCTCAGGCCAGCTGCTGATGTAAATACCTTCCTGGACACCCCCCCTTCACCTCCCAAATACGTATTAAAGCCACTTGTCCAAGCCACAGCCTTGCTATCCTGACTACACTGCCTTGAGTAAAGCTAGCCTGGGTACATCTGTATGAGCTGGGAATCCATCCTAGATGTACCTTAGTGTTCATTGAGACACGCCCTAAGAGCCACGGTCTCAACAAGGACCAGGTTCTGCAATGGCTTCACTGTTGAAGACCATGAAGAATTTGCCTCCAAATTTTTATCTGGCAAGATGTGGCCAATCGTCAGGCCAGAGTGCCCATAAGCTGCATGCTGAACCTAACCCCCCTCAACACTGAGGTATACGCAAGGCCAACCGATAGGGTACTAGAACCAATTCCTTCGTCTGCTAGTCAGTGGATCCCTTCTTCCCCTGCTCCTGTGATTTGCACCTCACCTAAGTCTCTCAGAGAAACCATAGGAGAGGGGACGTTACGTAGGCAAGAAATGAAAGCACCCCTTACATGTCGCAGCAGCGACTCTTCTCCCACGGCCTTCACCAACCCTTTCGTGTCCATCTGACCGAGACGAAGGATGTAGAGGGGGCGGCCATCTTCAAAGCAAAGAAAGACCGAGGTTACAGGGAAAACACTAATGCTACGCCTCCCAGAGCCTGGGAACGGCGAGGTTACAGGGAAAACACTAATGCTAAGCCTCCCAGAGCCTGAAGCAAAGTCGCATTCAGTCGGTCAGCCTGACCTTAGCTTCCTGTCAGAGGGAATGAGGGCAGGTGCCTGGGAGATGGAACAGCCCTGAGGGAAATGAGCTAGAGTGTCTTTTTTATCCATGCCCCAGTCCAACATCAGCCTAGGAGGGTTGGCTGTTCAACGGCCGGGGTGAAATGCATTGTGGCCTTAATCCAGTCGTCAGGGGGAGGCTGTTGGTTGACTCTCCTTTGGGGCAGACCCTTCTGGGGAGGGATTTCGGTAAGAAAGGTTCCACTATCAGAGTTGCTTACCTAAAGCAAAACATTCTCTTAAAATTCAAAGAAAGAAATGCTGCCTAAAGCAAATTTCGGTCAAGGGGGGCGTTAAGCCAGCCAGATTCAGCCTCATTTGCGTGTACACAGAGAGACTGTCAATGCAGTCGAGACATGCAGATCTGTTAGGCTATATCCATGCTAGGACTCTGCACCATGCCAGCCCAGTTGGCTCTACAGAGCTATAGGTCCACTCAGCCCCCGGGATGTTAACATTTTGCTTAATCAGCTAATCAAGGAGTTGATGGAATTTCCATCCACTACTCGATTAGTCCACAAGGGGGAGAGGATGTGCGCTATCCCCGCTGCGCCTCTGCCTTTCAAATGTAGTAGGAGCCGCAGAGGCGCAGCAGTCGGGATCCGGTGCGAGTGGGGACTTCTGCGCCTCTGCCTCCCCTGTCCGCCCCACCCCCAGCACCATGGAGACGGGTGCTGGGGCGAACGGGTTTTTAAGCCAGCCCCACCCCTAGCACCAGCTCCTGCTTCCCCCCTGCTTGCTGCCTCTGATATAGAGGCAGCGGGGGGAAGGGCGAGGGGGAAACGGGAGTAGTCCACCATTTGACTACTCTTTTACGTCCCTACTGAGCTCTGCACTGGTGGTGCAGCGACACCATCCTACCTGTGTCCTGGTAGTGCCACCCCCCGGCGTAGTACTCTTCCAGCAGCGGGGGAGGCCTCCAGGTCTGCAGGATGTAGTCTACCTGGTACTGCTTGCGCCAGGTCAGCGACTGGCAGAGCATCTCCCGAGCCTTGTCGAGGTTGAAGTCACGAGCCCTCAGGAATCGAAGGATATGCTCATCTCTGGGGATCTGAGAGAGAGGAGAAAACGCTCTTTCCAAAGGACTGGGACCGCACAGCTACCCACGCCACCCCCACAAACACCCACAAGAAGCCAAGCAGATTCCAGCCCTTCACAGGAATGGAAGCGGATTGAAGTGGCCTTTCCTTTCCTCCTGCTACGTCCCTTTGTCTACTCCAGCTAACTGCAGCTGGCGGATGCCAGGACGGTAGGGAAATGACAAGTTATGTCCCCTTCAGAGAGGAGGCCCTGCCACCTACCTGGGCCTAAACACACCCTGCATATGAAATCTTCCAGAACATTCCCCCAGCCAGCCACCACCAGCAGCGAGCAGCCGACAGCCCCGCCCGGAAGGAACAAAGCAGCAGCGTTCCTTCCCCAGAGAGCAGGGCGAGCCCGAGAGAGACAGGAGAGTCACACAGCACCATGCAAAGCATCTTCAGTCGACACGCCAGCCCACAGAACTCCTGTACTAGCCCTATGGCGACTGGTCACAGCTGCACCATCAGTAGACCAAGCACCCTCCCTAGAGTCCCTTCAGCCGGGACACTACAGCTCACTCTCTTGTGCAGGCTCTCGTCCCGTCAGCCGAACCCCCACGTGGGCCCTGTCGGAGTATGCCAGCCCCTCTCTGTCCCTCACCTTTGTCCACAACAGCGACCTCTTCCCCCCTTAGCCCCTCTCGTGTCTGAGCACACGGCCCCCCCCACAAGCTTTCTGCTCATCACACCAGCCTCACACGTTTGTTCACTTCTCCCACAAATGTTTGGTGCTTTCTTCCTTGCTTGCCCCTTCCGCATGGGGCATCCTCCAGACACTCGCCAGCATGGGTTCAAGAGCGGCCGTGGGCAACCAACAGCCCACGTGCGACTCCCTGGGGTTCCACCGGCAGCCCCTCCATCAACCCCCATCCCCATGGGCATCACGCATGCAGGCACCGGAGCCCCACACTTCCTACACCTCCCCCCTCCCTCCCCGCACTTTTGGAGCGCGCGAATTACCTGATTTGCACTCCATCCCTGCTCCTCCCCAAGCTGGTGAATCAGCAGTTTGCCCTTGTTCAAGCACCGGGAGGAAACATAAATCAGTTGATTTGCTGCGCTCCAAAAATGCAGGGAGGGAGGAGAAGCAGGAAGTGCAAGGCCCCAGTGCGTGAGATGGGCGTGGGGGAGAGGTAGATGGGCAGGTGCACAGGCTGCAGGTGGAACCCCAGTGGGTCTCATGCAGGCTGCAGGTTGCCCACCACTGCTGTAAACTCTTCAAAGTGGGGAGAGTCTCTTCCCAGGCATTGCTACAGCTGTTAGGGGAATGGGGCCCCGGTCCAGATAAGCCATCTGGGCAGTACCGTAACACCAACATCACTTGTGCTCGCGACAAAGAGCGCTTTGATCAGCTTCCTGACGTGCAGGGGGCAGTCGAAAGAGGGCTGGACACAAAGCAGTCCGGCGTCTCAGTCACACGTACTGAGATGAAGCTGCAGCAGACACGTAGGGCTTGCCTGCACTAGTGAGGTGCTCATTCTAATACCTGCTCACGACCTGTGCCCTAGTGGGCCCATTGGACCCTGCTGGCATGCACTAAAATTTCTCTAGATTCGCGGCATGTAACCGGTTCTGGAGCGATAGCCACTTACAGTAGCCACTGCTATAGCAAACAAGCCACACTCCACCGGCCAAATAGCCGCATGTGGCTAGTGTGTTGCACACCACGGCTCCATCTGAATGGAGTCCAGTGTCAGACAGTTGTACACAGCAGCATCCGCATGGGCCACTTAGCCTGTAGCATGGTGGTGTGCATTAGAATTTACACCTCTAGGGTGGACTAGCACAATGTGCAGACAAACCCTCAGGAGGCAGCTTAGATATAAACCTGGGGTAAATTGTTTCTAACCCTTTGTGACTATCACATTTGTACATTTTGGTTACAGGGCTCCGGGGGCGCAGGGTGGACACGGTTCCATGCCAGATCTCAAAATGTAATCAAGAACGTGTCTGCATCACACTAGGGGTGTGAACGGGTAACCAGTTACCTGGTACGCATCACCCTTAACAGGTGACGCATACCAGGTAACAGCTATTACCTGGGAGTGGCCCGCCGCAGGCAGGGGGCTACAACAGCCCCATGCAGCTGCCCATCTGCCACCCCACACTGGCTGAGTGTCTTCAGCCTTGTGCAGGGCCAGAAGCAGCTAGCCTGGAGCTGCGCCTCCACCTACCCCCATTTAATTAGCAAATGAAATGGGATTTTACATCCCTACATCACACGAAGATAGAAACAGCGGATTTTTTTTTCCTCCTAGCAGGCTGCGCCGCTTCGGTGCTGAAAGGAAGCTGCCATCCACGGGTTGGTTCAAACCCTTACAGAAATAATCAGCCAGAACACCCAGGGGAGCTCTCGGCACCCCTGCCAAAAGAACACAACACCCTGCGGTTACTACATCAACGTTTGCCATTCTCCAGTATCACATAGGCCCAAGGTTACCACAACCCCTCCCTGGCTGGTCTCACAGATAAATCAAGCACCTACTCACTACATAGATCGTCAAGAGCGTGCTTGCCCGTGGAAAGCCTGTCCCAGCAATAACCAGAAAGCCTAGGGAAGAGCAGCAGCACAGTTCTTAATAGAGCAAGGCCCAGGGCCGAGGAAGCGCTTCCATTTGGGTCAGAGGCAGAGCTTTGAGGGCTACTGTTACACAGAAAATCAAGCCCAATAGCGGGACAGAGATTTCCGACCCCAGGGACTGCATTCGGCTGGGGAGCCGAGAGAATTCCAGGTGCCGTCATTTCTGGAGGCAGGCCAATGAGGAGGCTGCTGCAGTTCTTACTGCTGGGGTGCCAATATCGGCTGCTTTCACAGCCTGCTGCTCGCAGCACGGTGTAGGGATCTGCGTTTCCACATCATTTACAGCCTGCAGCTCTGTGGCTGGTGGGCCTTCCAGCGAGGGGAGCCTTTACTCCACGAAGCACTCGCTGCTGCTCGGGGCAGCCGGGAACGGACAGTGCAATTGGACTATCGGAGCGTCGCATTTGAACACAAATGCCCGGCGGGGCAAGCTCCCAGGGATGGAGCTGGGCAGCGAGCCTCTGAAGAGCTGACAGGACAGGGTGTTTCCCCTGGCGCTAAAGAACGCGTCCCAGCAAGAGATCAGCCTCCTCCGAGCGAGCGCCAATGCGCCGAGACAAGCTTCTGGCTCTGAACCCGCCTGACACGCCGTTCGCATTTCTACAGAAGCAGACGAGGAAGCAATAGACGGGGTTTCGGAGGAGATCCCCTTTGCCGGTGCCAGCCACTCGGCTTGCAGAGGTTCTCCAGGGCCCGGGGAATACACAAGACCGAGAAGCGTGCACGGCGACCTACAGCCGTCACTAAGGCCGATTCGGTTTCACCCTCTGATTGGATCCACCACAGCAACCAGCTGCCCGAAGGGCGCCTGCACACACACACGGGTTAGACCATCCCTAAAGGCAACGCTTTCACATGCTCCAGATTTTACCTTTTCCGGCTTCCATTCCCCAGCCTCTGACTACAAGAAAAACAAAAACAGGCATTTACACGGTGCCCTCCCGCTCCAAACCTGGGTCCTGGGGGATGACCAAGGCGGCTCCCTGTCACGCTCAGCCCCGGGTGACATGTTGGGCAGTCGGCGCATTAGACACAGGAGGCCATGCGGGTCGGGACCCCAGAAGGCTTGTCAAGCCAAAGCAGTGACTACGGCCCCGCGCCCGCCTGTACGTCTGCCCCGGGGGAACGCCCCACGCCCAGCTGCTAGGCCTGAAAGCAGCATGCTCAGAAGCCAGCAGTAGCACTGGGCATGAACCTGGTTTGCTCGCCAGGCCCCCCTGCCTCTCGGAAGTGCTGACCAATGGAGCAGGCAGCTTATTACCTCCGTTGCCTGGCTTTAATGGGCTCCTGGCCCCACCTAACCACGCCGGCTCTGTTTGCTACTGCCCACGCTCCCTGTGCGGGTTAACCACTCAGGGCGAGGGAACGAGGGGGAGTTGGAGCCTCTCTGGGGACCTTCGGGAAGACCTGGCTTTTTGTTTGTTCCCCGCCCCCTCTCATAACCTAGCCTGTAGGCCTGGTGCGACCTTGCTGGGGCCAAAGCAGGGCAGACTGGGCAGCTCTGCTCAAAGCCGAGTCCTGCTCCAAAGGAGCCAAATCAAGCACTGCAATTAACAAGGCTCCCCCTGCGCTCAGGAACACAATACCCCATTGTCCAGCCTGCTAGGGAGAGTCCCCTCCCCCGGCACGTCACAGCGCTGAGCCAGGGCAGCTGTTCTCGTAGCACGAGACACTTTGGTTTGGGCCTCAGAGCCAGTCAGGAATTCACCCCTGCTAATGTCAAGCAGTCAGGCGTGATTCCTGCCCACGAGCGTTTGACCCTGCAGAGCACAGCCCAGACGGGGCACCTCGGTCCAGAAACACCAGCAGGCTTGCTTCTCTGGCGGTGTCTGGAGGGGAAGAAGGGAGCTCTTTTCAGGCTCCCCACAGCCATCTGTAGTGTGCCACTAAAACGTGAGGCTGGATTCATCCTCAGGGTAACGGGGGTCTAGCCAATGGAGGAGAGGCAGGGATACATTTGGCTCTCAATCTCCAGTACTGCCGGTGGGAGCCAAACCCGACCTGGGCTCTATGCCCAAATGCTGGGATCAGCCCTGGTTGCCCTTGCAAATCACTCTACTCTTCTTGGGTTCTCTTCACTCAGGCTGTGACTCTTCGGCTGGGGTGTGAGCCGCTCCCTTGAGTCGAGGCCGACAGACACACCCTCCTCCTCAACATGGAAGTTTCTGCATCAATACAGAATTTCCTTTTAAAAAAAAAAAAGAGTTAAACAAAACTTCCAAGTGGGAAGGCAGCCCCTAGGCATGTTGGTTTATGAAGGCCACCTGAAAAAAAGACGAGATAAAAACCAGAGAGAGGTGAATCATAATGCCTAGGGGGTAGCGTAGCAATGCTCAGCGGCCGTAAGACTGTCGTCACCAAGACGATCTCCCGGGACAGGGTCGTGCTGCTCACTGTGCTGGCGTAGCTAGAATTTGCGGGTTGTGCCAGCTGAACCGTAGCAGCGCTGCGATGGGGCACGGGGAGAGCGCACGGCTTTCACGTGCCCTTGCTTTACATGCGTGTCACTTCAGTGAGACTGGCGGGAAAAACCACGACACAAACGGAAACCAGCAGAATCTGGCAAGGCTGCGTGGGGGCAACGGCAAACAAAAATGTCTCCTGGGCCACACGCAGAACCTTAATGGGCTGCATGTGGTCCGCAGTGTCTGCTAAAAGCCTGGCGAGGCGAGTTGGTTTTGAATGGATCTATGCAACATGACTAGCTGATTCCCTCACTCTATCCCCAGACACAGCAAGGCCACCTGCTAAATAGAACAAGGGGCCTACTGAAACTGCAGAGAAATCACACGTTTTTCTTGGGTTGGTCATGGCATAAACACAAAATGTCATAGCCGGGTTACACGGCCACACACAAAAAACTTGCTTTTTATGCCCTGACCAAGTCACAAAAAATGTGCGATTTCCCGCCGTGTTTCCCAACTGAGCCAAAAGGGGGTCGTGGTATTGCCACCCTTACTTCTTCACTGCTGTTGGCAGCAGCACTGTCTGAAGCTGGGCAGAGAGAGGTAGCAGCGGCTGCTGCCCAGGCACCCAGCTCTGAAGACACCACCACCACTGCCAACAACAAAGAAGTAAAGGTGGCATGATATTCTGGTCATCGTGCTTCACAATCAATTAACCCTCAGCACACGGGAGTTATTGACAATTGCATTCTTACATGGGGACACTTAGGCACAGAGCAGGCATTTGGCCAACGCCGTGCTGCTAATAAGCAGCGGAACTGGGATTAGACCCCAGGGGTTCCTGGATCCCAGTTACATGATCAGGCCATTAGGTAAAGCTGCCTCCAAGCAGCCATCGTGCTTCACAATCAATTAACCCTCAGCACACGGGAGTTATTGACAATTGCATTCTTACATGGGGACACTTAGGCACAGAGCAGGCATTTGGCCAACGCCGTGCTGCTAATAAGCAGCGGAACTGGGATTAGACCCCAGGGGTTCCTGGATCCCAGTTACATGATCAGGCCATTAGGTAAAGCTGCCTCCAAGCAGCCAGCAGCTCACTGGAGAACTCCCTCCTTGTCACCAGACAGGGAGCTCTGCCTCTAGCTGCCTACCTTCCCTTTGTGCATTTCTTGCAGCCACTGGCGGAGTCGGATCAGGCAGCTTTCCTGCATTGGCGTGAGGTGCCCCAGGTACCGTTCAATGTAATCAGCATCCAGTTTGTCAGCTGGAGAGGGGGGAAAAAAACAGCAGCTTAGGAGAGAAGTCACACCCTGGTAGGAGTGAGGGATGGGGAATTGTGCAGTAGTTCGCTCGCTCCCTCTCTCCCCCCTCTCCTCCCCACACACACACTTTCCACTGGGAATTTTCAAACGCTCTTGGCCTCATTCATAAACAGTCCAGGTTCTGGAAGGGCTGGGAAATATTCCGAGGAGTCCATGGGGCAGCGAGGGGCAAGCTAGGCTAGCGAGTGGGCCACCTGAGTGGCCTCCATCTCAGTGGGCCACAAAACTACCCTCCCCAAGATGGCCTCCGGCGATAGGGCGCTGTGTGGGCGCCAAAGGAACTGACTGGCTGCAGAGGGCATGCGGGGCTCTCCCAGTCAGAGTGGGGTGCCATCAGCGCGCCCCTTCTCCATGGGCCTTTGCAGTATGTGCATGTCGCTGGAGTAACACCAGTCGGGAAAAAATGACGTGGATGGGAACCAGCAGCATCTGGCAGCCCCCTGTGCATGGACAATGGTAAACAAAATGACTCGTGAGCCGCTGGTTGCCCACCACTGGCCTGGGTCATCGCATCAGGGGCATCCACCCCATACTCAACGGTGCCAATCCACCCTCCAACTCCTGCCTCCATCCCAAAGCTGCCCTGGACTCTGGTTGGGGTTGTCAAAGGGAGGCAGGCAGGATTTCAGTGGGAGCTGGAGCCAGGCT